AAAGCCCTTGTTTCTTAAAAGCATTTATTTGCCGAAATTCTTTCTTGATGAATTTGCCAACTAATTTTTCAGCTTCATGTTTCAGTGTTGAATTCACTTGTACCTTAAGGCCAGAAAGAACACCAAGACTATCTCGTCTGAAGGACTGGAAGAAATAATTTTACACACTTACCCACGCTGAGACCAACTTGTGTCTGAATACATATAACTTATCCCAAAAGACCTTGGAGGCCCTTCAAGAAGTGGAGGCACTAAATACTTCACTTAAGTTTTTTCTACTGCTTAATCACCTCTAAGTATAATCTTACAATTCTATTACCCTGAAAAACCATGAATGACAGCTTAAAGGGAAAAATGTACATTTTTTGGCTGAAAGTTCCCACCTTGTGTGGACAATCCTCTCCTCCAGTTTTACAATTTATCTCACTGACATTCCATATAGCAGGTAACTTTACTCTTAATAAAGCTATTAATTTAAGTAGAAAAAGAAGACACATTGCTTGGGTATCAAACAGAATTTATTTGCATTCAAGGTCATGTGAATTCTGTGCTTGGGCTGCTAGATGTCAGCTGCCTGCATCTCAGCACTGTTGTTAACCATAACGCCATGGGGAGCTGCATGAGAAGCTCAGATGTTGTCATTTTTAATCTGCTGTGTAATAGTAATTTCACCATCTTAAGGTCTGTCTCAAGACCTCAGTTGTTATTCTCTCCGAAACAACATCCATTAGCATTCCATGTCCCATTAGATATTAAAACCAGATACTAATTGCCTAGATTTTACTCGTCCTATTCTTTTCTACAGTTCAATAACTACAGAGTGTAAAGAACGTCCAACTTTGTGCTGTAATAAAGCAGTCCATAAAAAAAAGTGTCTCAATTTATCTTTTCACTTAGCACTGCGTTTTATCAGACATGGAAAAATCACTGCTATCCGAAACTTCAGTAATTTATCATTCTCCCTTTCTTTGAGGCAGCTCTTGAATGAGAGCAACTTATTTAAGTATACGGCTTAACACAAGTCATTTGAGGAGAAAGAAAGGAAAGGAAAAAATATATAAATGACTGCATACCCTGAACTTTTGTATTCAGCTAAATTAAGCAGTAAGTCACAACAGGCAAGTGATTTACCAGAGATTGACCTCTGGGCACCCAGACCAACATAGTTTACAGCAATTGCAGATACAAAACAGTAAGATATTCAATACAGAAAGCAGACATTTATTTTCTCTTCTTAGCTAAGATGAAACTGATGCAGCTTCACTAAGCACGATCCCCGTGTCACATCGCAGCTTCTCATCAGTACGCCTGGTGTTGTACCTGTCAGCGAGTTCTACACGACTGTGTAGTTCAATACGGATCTGACTAATAGATCGTGCCATCCTGTCTCAACAAAGGCTTTAGAGATCTCTCTGTAGGCCACCTCAGTCGCGACCGCAGGCTCCCAGACATCTAATAAACTTGACTTGACATGACACGGGATGCAGATAATCAGACACGCAGCTGTCACAATGAGAACATCAGGATTTTGTTTCAGCTGTTCGTAAGAACCCCCCTGTGCCTCGTGGTGAAGCCTTGTTATGCTGGGTCTTCTTACTACAGTCTTGGGAAAACGAAGCGTCCTCACCATGGTATCAGTCTGTGCATGATATTTGTTCTTCCAGGTATCTTTCACAATACATTGCTTACACTGTACAACCAAACAGACCTCACTCAGAACAGATAAAACACCTCACATCCATTCTTAAGAAAGAAGCTCAACTTTACTGAGTAAAAACGATAATAATTCTTGCTATCCAAAGTTGGGCCAAGCATAAATCCTGGCAGTAGGAGACTTGACTTACCCTTTCTTCTCAAGAAGTAGATGGCAAGTGGGGAAGGGCAAGAGAAGGTGAAGAAAAAACATGAATCACCCAAATTGTGCATTTCAACATCAGTGGCCACCAAAACCAGCTCTACCAACAATGATTTAAGCTTTCTAAATGTCAGGAAGTTTAAACCTTACTTCAGCTAGACCATTTCAACTGAAGAACTCTTACCCTGCTTTAGGGATGCAAAGAACACAAGGCCTGAAGCAAGCACGCTGTAGCACACACATGCTGGTTGAAGTTAAAGCAGCAGCCTTTTCTTTCTGAGCAAGTACAGTAAGTTTTTACTAAATCTTGTCAGTTCCTTGTTCCGTTCTAATACAGAAACGCCTTTGGCATCGCCAAGTAATCCTACAGTAGATGGTGCAGGTAACATGGAAAACAGGCCAGCAGTACAATAATGGCCTGAAGCACTGCTGTAAGAATAGCTGAAAGCCAGTGAAAAAACGCAATTCAGAGTTTAGATTGCTGAAAAGGAAGAAAAAATCTGGAAACCTTAAAGCAAGCTTGCTCTGCCTGCTTGTAGGAAACTAGACGCGCAAAATACAAGTATTTACAGAACACCCACAAAACTATCAGGGGTAGTATCACTGGGCATAAACCCTTATATAAAACATAAGTACAACTGCATCTATTCCACCTTCCTCAGGGAGTAAATATGCCCCTTTTTGCTGTGACAATTTGATTGTGACAGAAGAACCAACAATTTCTGCAAATGTCCCCACATACATATAACAAATCAATATCTTATTAAATAGGCCATCATTACCAAGCGCTGGAAGATTCAATGAAAGAGGATTTTTCTTTTCTTGTTAGTTACAAAGGGTACTTTAATATAAGCCATTAAGCAACCTTCGATAGAAGTGCACATTTCTAGACACATTGATTTCAACCTTTTGCACCAAAGATGACCAGAAAAATGAGAAATTATACACTGCCTATTGAAAATGACAAGCTAGTGACTTTCTGAGGATTGCTCCAAGATATTCCATAGACAATCTTTCTAGACAGTTGGAAACTACTAATTAACAGCTTAAAAGCTAGTTTTGTGGAATCAAAGGCATCACATATTGATTGTTTAAAAAAAAAAAAATAACTAAATAAAAGCACCAAGCCCAGAAATGACACCCTTTCCCCACTTTTACCAAATAACACAAGCACATACACCCAATCCCCAAGAAAGTATCCTAGCATCTTCACACAGAATCATGTCTCTCTCTCACGGACCATTCTGCAAAGTATTGAAGAAATGCTCCAAAATATTATTTCAAAAGAGTAAGCCAAAAAAATAAAAATAAAAAATAAACCACACCCACAAAACTGGAAAAAAAACACACCATTACAAACCAAAGAAACACCTCTCCATCTCATTTCAATCCCTATAAAAGTACGAGCCTCCTGCCCCAAACTTAAGACTCACCTCAAAAAGACTGAGATGCCACTCCTCAAAGCACTATTCTCACTGCTCAGAAGTATTTTGTTAGTGTTGTTGTTCTTTAAATCGTCCAAATCTCAGACAGGAAGCCTTCTGTAGTATCACTTCCTACAGCATGGTAAGTTTTGTAGCACTTCTTAGCAGTGAAGGTCAGTAATGTGTAGGACACCTACACCTATACCTTAAGCCTACCCATCAGCAGCTGGAAGGGCACTCTGTAAGCCTGTATGACAACATAACTTTGGAACCACACAAGCTTTCAAGAACAACGAATGTGGCTTTGAAGAAGCAGCTGATGATGTTTAACAGCTAAGAGCTCCAAATTTGTCAGTGCAGTGAGGATAATCATTTTGTCAATAATGCATACAATAAGAAATGCTGGTTCATCTAGCCCTCCTACTTATCATTGGTATATGTGACTGAAAGACAACTAAAAGACACATACAAAACTCAAAAGCACTTGACTTTCTCTGTTAGGCCTGTCCAACCCAGTGCTGGCAAAGTCAATCCTAAGTATATCTTACTTAGTATGCCAGCAGTGTAAGTATCTGTAAGTAATTAGGGTTCTCTTCAGTGACAATTGGTACCACAAGCTACAAGCTGTTGACCACCCCTTTCATTCTGTTTTCAAGTGTTCATTTGTAATACAGACAAAAATAAAAATAAAAATCACAAAACACAGAATCTGTATACACAGGACCAAAAGAGATCTTAAGGAGATGCAAATAAACCTTTTTCAGCTCTTTTCTGAGACCCTTTTTCCCCTTAAAGGCACACAGCTTTACAGAATAGCAAGTCACCAGTTCCCATACATGCTACCAGCTGCCAAGCCTGTGCAGATAAAGTTGCAGACTCTTCCAACTTTATTGTTTCACCCCAGGCGACCACACGGCATCCCATCCGCCTCCTATTCCTTGCTGTATTTTATTCCCAATCTCAAACCAGCATCCTTTAGAGGGGCTGCAGGGGACAGGAGCACTTCCTAACTTTAAAGGCAGTCGCTCAGCACGATCGGTTTAGCTTTCTCACCCACCTTAGCGAAACAAGCAGCTCTTTATTTCACCTTTAAGAAGCCGGAGCCCTTTGGCATTTGCTTTCCTTGCTCTCAGCGCTAAGTCCCACGTTTACCTACACGCTCACTCTTCCCCACTCGCTCTCTCCCACCTCCAGCAGCGCCGGACAGACAGACAGACAGACACCAGGCAGGGTTACCCCACCCACCACCACCCGTACCCAAAGCAGCGATCGCTCCTCCGGCTCGGCACCTCCTCCAGAGCCCCCCTGAGGGCACAGGGCGGCTCCGAGCCCCCCATTTCCCCCCTCGCACCGGGGCCGGGAGGCGCTGAGCCCCGCAGGGCACGGGAAGCACCGAGCGGGCTGCAGCCGGGCTCGGGCCGCTGCGTTTTGTTTCCCCTCAGCGCTCTCAGGCAGCAGCCGAGGAACGAGCCGAGCTTCTCCAAATTAACAAAAACAACCTAAAATAGCAATAAAGGGCAGCGGTGCCGAGCCCCGGAGCTCACAGCACGGACCCTACCGCGCTCCTTCCCCTCTCCCAGCCCCCCCAAACCCGCCGGCAGGGCGAGGCGGAGCGGGGACGGCTCCTCTGTGGGGAGCCCCCGGCCGTTAACCGCCACCCCGCGACCGTTGCGGGCCGTTACCGGCCGCCATGCCGCGCCCCGCCGCCGCTGCCGCCTCACCTTCCCTCCAGCCCACGGCCATGGCCCCTCCGCTCCGCCGGCGGCCCCGCCCTCCCGCGCCCCGCCCCGGCCCGTCCATCAGCCGCTCCGCGCCTTCCTATTGGCTGGCGGCGGGGCGGGGGGCGGGCCCTAATCTCCCCCCCTCCCTCTCCGCGGGCTCCGGCAGGGGGCGCGCGGCCGCGCGCACTCGGCCGCGGGGGCGCGCACGGGGAGGGGAGAGGAGGGGGGGGCCCGGCGGGGCGCTGCTGGGTGCGCGGTGCTGCTCCTCCTCCTCCTCCTCCTCCTCCTCCTCCTCCTCCTCCTCCCGCACCCGCACCCGCACCGAGGCGGCAGCCCCGCGCCCAGCCCGCCCCTGCCCCGGTAATAATGCACTAGAATGTCAGCGCTGAGAAAGGTACGGGGACAGCGGGGGGGGGGGGGGGGCAGGGGGCTGAGGGGGTCGGGGGGCGAGGGGCGAGGGCACGGTGCCGCCAGGGCAGCGCCGCTGCAATTTGGGGGGACGCGGAGGGGTTGGGGGGGGGTCGGTGCCGCGGGCTCACGGCCTCGGAGCACCCCCAAATCACACGGGGGGGGCGTGCTGGGGAGGGGGGGGCTGGCGGAGGGTCGTGGGGAGAGGGCAGGAGTGTGCGGAGCGGGGCGGTGCTCCCAAATCCCAAACCTTCCCGGGTGATGCTCCCAAACCTTTCTTAGGTGATGCTCCCAAATCCCTCCCGGTGATGCTCCCAGACCCTTCCCGGGCGATGCTCCCAAATCTCTCCCAGGTGATGCTCCCAAACCTTTCCCCATCGATGTTCCCAAATCCCTCCCGAGCACTATCCCCAAACCTTTCCCCAGCGATGCCCCCAGCCCCGCGGCGATGCCCCCAGCCCCCTCCCGGGCGATGCTCCCCATCCTTTCCCACTCGCTTCTCCCCCAAACCTCCCCCAATTTCCATCACGGAGCCCCTCACCCCGGCCGGGGGGGGGGGGGGGGGTTCAGCCCACCCCCGCGGTGCCCCCGGCAGAGCAGGGAAGCGGGACGAGGAAAAGTTTGGCGCTGCTGCGCTTCAGCCCGGCACTTCGGGCTCCCAAAGCCCTCGCCGGCTGCTTTCGGCGGAGCCTCTCCTGTCGGCACCGCAAGTTTTCGCTGTGCTCCTCGCCGCTGCTTGTAGGGCTGAGCAGGTTTCATCCTCGCTATCGGAAAGGCTGCGTGGCGTGTCCCCGTTTCCCCCCCTTCCCCAATTATTTTTATATGCTTTCGAAACACCCGGCGTGTGGTTAAATTACATTGTGTTGTATACTCGGGTTGTATTCAATATTCTCGTGAATTACAGGGCTGTTGTGTGTTGGGGATTTAATTCTGAGCGCTGTAGTGATCTGACACAATATTCCTAAGTTGGGGGACGCATTTATTATGCCCTCGTTCGGTTCAACATGAAGTAAAAACTAGGACCGTCAAATACATTCCTTGATTCTGTTGTAGATTACTGCCAGCTTTTCGTTTTAGCACCGCACAGTGCTGTTGGCATCTAGTTGCACGTATACCTGCCTGTCCTCAGGGCAAAGCCGGGCGTCCCTCCTCCTCACCTTTCTAGAATTTGCAGCCCCCCCGAAATTGCCTGAGATCTCTGCCACAAACCAAAGGTGCGCTTAGAGGCAAGTTGTACGATGGACGGCTCCACGGAGGGGCTGAGGAGAGCGTGTGCTGGCCGTGCAGGTGGCAAAACCCCGCGGTGGTGGTGATGCTCCTAGGGACCGAATGGCAGTGGGGTGTCCCAAAGTGCAGGGAAACATCCCACGGCAGCGAGCGCTGAGGTTGTTGGCCGTGCCAAGCTCCCGCAGACTGCCGAGTCCAGGCAGAAATCGAGCAGGATGAAGTTTGTTACAACTAACTAATAATTCTTTCTACTAAGTATCGAGTTAAGTTGCTTTAATGTAAGTGAGCAGGTGTGATATCTCTAGGGGCAAATGTGTTCCTGTCCCGCTGTGCCTGTGCACCACGGAGCATCCCACCTGCAGCGTGGCTGCTGCAGCTCCCTTGAGCCTCCTGGCCAAGGGTACAGCAGGTTTTTGTCTGAGAGCAGATGTTCTGATAGGAAATATGCACGGACAGCCTTAACAACTACATTTCAGCTTGATTGAGAGCTTTATCTGGCTAAACTACAGAAACTGGAATAATTATTGGGATAGTTTTTGTGTACCTTAGCAGAGGTGGTAAGACATTATTTTACACCTGCCTTTCCTAGGCAGGAACTTTTTTCCCTGCTTGCAATTACATGTAGTCAAAGCAATTTCCCTGCGTAGCAATGATAATCCTATGAGTAGTTTTGGTAATAAAAAGAACGTTGAAATAAACCCTTGTTTTTTCGAAGGTGTACCATCAGGGGGCCCTTTCAAACTGCATCAGTCAAACGAAAACAGCTGCTTCAGTTCTACTGCGTGAACAAGACAATTCCTGTTAGATGCCTCAGTTCATCACCGCAGAGAATTAGTTTATCTAACCACACGTGGTAAAGGGGGTGACCACTAATGCAGAAAGTGAGTGTGAGCTCATCAATTATGACTGTATTTAAAAGAGATTTTTAGTTCTTAAAACTCTGTTGTAAGGGCCAAAACGTCCCACCTGAGTCCACAGTAGTCTGTTTGCTAAATGGGTAGTTTTGTTTGGCTAACTACAGAAAGGAATTAAATGTAGATGAGTTTGCTTTGCGAAAATTCATAGTCATCCACGAACCATATGGCTTTCTTACCTCTCGTAGAGAAATACATCTATGCATGGCAGATACAGTATGTCAACAGCTATGATCAAATATAAGTAGAAGTGGGCACGGATGATTCAGAATCTCCTTTAGAGCAGGCCTGCCTGAGACTACAACTTCTCATATCTCAGCCCATATATATCTCCATTATAGAATTATGCTTCCCGAAAGAGATTATAGTTCATCACAGCTACTTTCTGCTGTAGGGGCCAAAATGATTCATTAAAGCAAAGTACTGTTCCTATTACATTTTTTTTTTTTTTTTTTAGGAAATGTCAAGCAGCAGTTTATTCACTTAGCACACACTCAGTTGTAATGAGAGGCAGGGAATCACTGCAGCTAGATTTCTCAATCAGTGCTTCTACAAATGTGCATAAAGAACACACGCACACAACAGTATGGAGAGCACAGCTCTCACTTTGTTCTTACCCATTTCTCACTGTGATTCCTTAACTACTTGCTTTGTGCACAGAAGTTGCTATGCATTTTCCTGCCGTGTTTTCACATTTCTCTGTCCTTGCCAGTTCAGAAAAATGAACAACAAATAGCTTCCAGTATGGCATTGGCCCTTAGCCCTCTGATTTATTTTGTGGTTTCATAACCATATATTCTTACCAGCTAAAAGGTTTTCTTTCCACTTCTGGTAGTAAATGTGGTGTGTATATGTGGTAATATGTATCTGCTGGTAAATGTGTCAGGTATACCACAGAAGGTGGCTTTCGTCTCACATGGGGAATCAGTGCCTCTTGTCTTCATTCAAACTTGTTAGTGCTGTGTGTGACAAAGTAGATAAATTGATGGTAATGAAACAGGTCAAAAATACAGTCAAATATATGCATAAATCCAAGAAGGCAAAATCAGTAATTTAGAAACTCAGGTATTATATATGCACAAATAATTTGAGGAGGACCATACACCAGAGCTTTCTATCTTGTAGCTCCCCATCATCCTTCATAGCTGCTCCCTCTCCACCCAGAGTCCTTCCACCACTCTTAATCTTGAATCCCCCATCTTGAGTATTGTCTTTAAAAAGCACATTTATGTCAGAGGAAAGAAGAGCCTATTAGATCTGCCTGATACACTGAGCTTAGTTTTGCAACAACAAGTTTTATTCTAGCAAATGTAAAGGTTAAGTCTCGTTAATGAAATTGCAAACAGAGTTAAGAAAGGAAGGCATAAAACTAAGGAACACAGATTTATTGTTGGACACCAGTTGCTTGTGGTCATTTAAGGTATCTGTGATACATATTTCATCCTGGATGCTGAGAGGCTGATCAAGCAGCGTTCACCCTCTGGAGCACTGCCTTTAGGAGGGAGCAACTCTCCTGCATTGCCCTGGAAAGGTAACAGGTCTGCACTGACTGCAATTCAAAACATTTTTATTTTTTTTGAGCTGCCTCCTTATTATCCTTCTTCTGTTCTTTTAATTTAGGCAATATTGTATTTTCAATAAAACCTAAGGTGTGGGTGAGAATGCAAATCAATTGTTTAAGCTTGTCTGGAATCTAATTGCCCTTAGCATGCGTGTTTTTCTTAAGATGTTGACTTCTTACACACAATTTATTTTTGTGCATTGGAGGTCAACTGAATTAGTTGTCTCTGATTCTTTACTTCTCAACAGTATGACTTGCATTGTAAAGCTTTTAAATTCCTTAATAACAATATGCAAATTGCATAAAATAAAATATCAGCAAAGTTTCCAGCAACTCTGATAGTCTTGTCATTGGATAGGCTGGTGACTTTTCCTGAAAACAATATATGGACTTATTAATGGTGCAGATACTCAATTTAGCCTTTGAGGAAACTGCCCAAATCGTTTCACTCTGGCAGTGCCACTCTGGGAGCTCGTGCAGCTGTAGGGGTACAGAAGTGTGTTACGGTCTTGATGTGTGTTTTGCTGGCAGTGAGGAGCACAAAGAACTTCCCCACTTTCACACCTTCCTTCTAGCTTTACAAGTAGCCCATAAAAATAACACAGAGCAAATGGCTTCAATAGCCACAAGTGGGAGGTTATTCTTGACCTTTTTTTTCTTTTTTTTTTTTTTTCCCTGAATGGCAGACAGTAGGGAGAGAATCACACGACTTTACTATTTCTTTTATTTCTTCTAGAGTAATCTTTAAAGGTGGAGGGAAGGAAAAAAACCCAGAGGATCTTCCACTCTCACATTTTTATTGATTTATGGCTTAATAAGTCATTGGGATATAAAGCTACAGAGCATAAACACTCTTACTCAATCGAAGTTGTCTAAATCGAGCCCAAGTAAGATAAAGATGACACTTTTGCTTCATTCATGCGGAGCAAAATTCTCTCCAGAG